CGGTGCACCATTGAAGATTAGTTTCACCTGCAACTCTAATCGGAACCGGTTCTCTTTGATGAATCGGATGAGGATGCTTTAATTGACACTATAGATTCTTAAGTTTTTTGTTCAAGTCAAAGACTTGATAATTACATTCTCAGCATGCAGATCCAAAGATGTTAGTAGAATTCAAAGGTCCTACTACGAAATCCCGAATGCCATTTTTTCGAAAGAACATAATACCGACTAAATTGGCCAGCATTATAACCAATGCCGGCTAACTTTGTCGGTATTACGTCCTTTCGGGAATCTGTTTTTCGGGATTTCGTGGTAAAACCATATCATTTGTGCATTGATTTACAAACAGAATTTATAACACTAAGAGATTTCTTCTTGTTCACATAAGGAAGAGAATTAAGCACTTAGTAGTATAAAAAATTCGGATTTAAGATTGTGCTTTTTGTGCACATTTTTTTAATCTTATATGCATTATGGCTATTAATAAAATAATAAAGTAAAAAATAACAAACTTTATTATATAATAGATACTAAAGTACAGTACTTGCTGCATATTTAAATTTATCTTTGTTTAAAAGACTCAAGGAATAAAAATACGAATTCTTTTATCAAAGCTCGTATGGATAGAAAAATAGATATGAAAGGCACACTGATAAGAACCTTGAAGCATTATTCGGAGAAGTGGGATGTGGGCTATATCTACTTGACATATTCTTGCTTCACAAAAAAAAGGTACAGAGACCTCTCTAAATGTATATACAACTTCTGGCCCAAGTGTCTCCTATATATGCACTTTTCTTATTGTTCTCTAAATGCACATGCATATTGTTGAAAGTTTGGACCCTATGGTGTGCATCTAGAAAAGCCTCTTTGAATTTAAATTTGTGAGACTCTTTAAATTGTTCTCAAAAGTTGAAACTATAGATGCTGGTGAAATGTGGTGAAATTGGTGAAACTAAATTCACCAGCATCTATAGTTGAAACATTTAAACGATTAGCAGAGAAAAAAGCAGAATGTATACAGATGGTGCTTGCAGGTAAGTTCATTCTGACAAATGTTTTACTGTACAAATTATTTTCCTGGGCTCTGCTAAATAACCAATTTTACACAAGATTCACTTGTCAACTTGTCTCTATACGGTATGAACGGGAATGTAGTATCGCTTTGAACTAATTGATAGTTGTTCTCTTACATCAAATAAGGAAGATTATATTATTGAAGGTGCTTTTTGCCTCTTGAAGAATTGGAGGTATTATGTATATTACTCTTTTCCTATTGTTATTAATCAATCAATCTGCAAACTTTCATTTCAATTCACCTGGTTTGGCACAGAAGAAGTTGACAAGAATATGAAGACATTGGAAAGTGTAGACAAAAATCATTGAGAATAGCTCAAGCCTCAATATTAATAATTGATTTACTTTTCAATCATATTTTTTCAATTTCGTTTTTAAAATATTACAATAAAAAGGTGAAAATAAATGTAACAAAACCTTTTCACCTTTGCGTTGTAATTGTCGGGCTTTTACTACTAGTCAACTTTTGTTTGCACATTCATCATTCATGTACTTATCAAGAGTCGACTACATATTAACCCAAGCAGCACGCAAAATGATTTTACCAATCTTTATAGTTCCGTAAAACTTAGAGATCTATTATTGTAAAATTTATTTAAGTCAAAGCATAGCCGAATTAAAGTTTGTAATAACGGAGATATGAGGAGGAGTTAACATATTTGTATAAAGATAATTTGATGTATTAGAATAGTAACCATGCTTTATGAAAAAAAATTTTGGAAAAAATAATTATGAGAAATATATCAGTAAAATATGCAAAGTTCAAAATTATTGACAACTTATTAATTTTTCATTTTAATTCTTTAATGCTCTGTCTTGTCGTCAGTTATTTCCATATCATCATTTTTCTGATCATGCTCAACTTTTTGTTTTTTCGCTACCTTAAGTTCATCAAGTTCATTTGTTAATTTTTGAATAAGTTCATCCTTTTCTTTTGTCTGTTGATGAAGCTCAACAATATGATCATGCGCTATTATCATAAATATTTTAATGAATAATTTGCAATAAAAGTATTGGATTTCATCAAGACATAAATTAACCCACCTCGCTTTAGTAAAAGTAATTTAGAGATATTTTTCGAAGATCCATTACTGTCACAACTTTTACCTTTTGTGGTGTTACGATCATTTCCACAGCCGTTTTTGTTATTTCCTTTAGTATTATCGCTTGTAATGGAATGCAATGGAATTACTTTTTTTAATTCATCAAAGCTTTGTTTTAATGAATCTCTACGCTTTTGTTCAGCAGCTTTATGTGTCGTGCGTCGAGACTCTAGACTTGAGTGCACATCAGACGAATAGGATATACCGAGTGATCTTTTTATAATTTAACAAATATTTCAGTTCATTATTTTGTGCTACATTACAAATATTCAAAATATTGCATACTTTGATGTTCCCTCTAAAATGTTTTTATAATTTGATTGACTTGCTAATTTTTCTGCCACTTCTTCTGCTATCACACCTGGTAACTTTGGTTTCAGACTTGGACTTATTGTAGGCTTTAATGTTTGAGGACTCTTTGAGGGATTAAGTGCTGATGGAGAACAAACAGCCTGATTCGTATGAACAATTTTTCTTCCGGATGAAAGTGGCAAAATAATTGGTGACATTGTCACCGGATTCATTCTTGGAGATATTGGCGACACATTCGGTGATACTACCAACATACGTTGCGGACCAGAAGTTGTAATCCTTGATCTTGGTGCTATAAAAGTATGTTGTTCTGTCTCTTTACTAAAGGTTTGTTGATTTTGTATTTGTATTTGTTGAGTATTAACTATTTGATCGTCTTGTATAGAATTAAGAGTGGAAAACTGTTTCTTATTCAATTTCATAAGAGAAGACGGCGTTATTGGAGCAATGTTACCATTTAAGGAAGAGGATGAACCATCTGAAAGATGTGCAGATGAAGGTTGTGTCGGTGTTACTTCAGACACAAGATTACCGCCAAGATTCAAGTTTGGCATAGGTTCTTGTGTAGGCATCGATGAAGCCAAGTCTTTTAAAGACATGTTCATATCAGGCATCATAGATGGAGAACCTGTCATGATAGTTGGCAGTTTGTTTATATTTTTTTTTGTGTTATTACTATTTTCAATGCTGTTATTGTTATCAGGACTAGAATTTTTTCCTGATACTTGTGTCACGGAATTGTTTACGCTTTTTGGCTTATTTAATGGCGAATAGTGCTGATTATTAGACATTTGGTTGTAAGTAGAGTTTGATTTCTGATCGTCTGGCCTTGTTATAGATTGATCAGGTTGTAAGATTGGTGAAATAACAGGTGATGACAAATAACCGGGAAGAAAAGACTCTAAAAAAAACTATAAATGTTTTAAAATGAGTAATGTTAAATGGTCAAATATATTTAATAAAAAATTGCTTAACCAACCCCATCTTCACGAAAAGTGCCTTCCACAGGATTTGGTAACATAGTGTAGGGAGACATAATGATTGATTCCGAACAAGCATTATGGTCAGAACCATTAGGCGTAGGCAACATATCGCTTGATAATGTAAAATTTGAAATAGGTTGGTAACCATCGGTTCCCGGAGTATCTTTACCATTAACATTATGTTGTCTTGGAGTATCCATAAGCAATATACTACAGTTTATATCATTATATCCAAAGGGAAGGTCAATTTCATTAGGATTAGGGTTAACGTCATTTGTATTAAAATTTGTGAACGTATCCATCATATATATTATATAGAAAAAAAAAAAAAAGGTAAAAAAGGGAATATGATTCTTTGTCACTTATACAGCCTGACAAGAGGAAAAATTTAAAAAAAGTAAAAACAAGTGATGGATAACAAAAACCGAGGAAAAACTTTTTTTTTTTTTAGGAGGACGATGGCAAAGTCAGACTTTCAGAATAAAACAATTAAAACAAGTTTTTAATTTTGACAATAACGTTACACTACCAAAAAAGGCATGTCATTTGAAGGGCTTGAAGAGACCCAATAAGCAACTACCACGTTAAGCTATGATGAAATATATTGAACATGTACGTACATATTCTCGCAAATAATTATTTTTTTCTTCGAAAGAAATTTAAAGATCTCGCCTGAAAGGTGTTCTCGCTCTTTATTTATACTCAGTCCGCTGACTTTTACCTCATCCACTTATAAGTTCCGCAATGACGGATCACAACGTCCGCCAAAGGCATGGCATACAAATTATGGAACCTCCTGACTCCATACAAAATGTACAAATCTTAGACGAAAAGAAGACTGTAATTAATTTCATTTGCTTATGCAGATTAGCATTTAATCCTCTTTTTTTTCGAAAAAAATAAGGATTTTATAGAATTTTTTTTTTTAGATAGGGCAAACTAGAAAATATACAAAAAAAGAGATTGTTTCGAACAGTGCTTTGGCTATCCTCACGCTCGTATCATTCATAACCCGCTTTTGGAAGATAGATCACCCGCATCAAGTCGTGTAAGTTTTGATCCATTTAATGACCAATTCAATCATTTAAATAATAAATTAATCAATCAATTAATCTAAAAAGTTTTGACGAAGTCCATTTTGGTAAATTCGCGAGCTATTATATAAAACGAACCTATTTTTTTGATGTACATCCTCCACTTGCAAAACTCATGTTCGCGGCAGTAGGCTGGTTACTGGGTTATGATGGTCATTTTGAATTTGATAATATTGGAGACGATTATATAACGAATGATGCTCCATATATTGGACTTAGATCATTGCCAGCTATGCTAGGTGCACTTCTTGTCCCTTTAACATACATGATCATGATTGAATCCGGGTATCCAGTAATAACTGCAATTCTAGCTGCCGGTTTTGTGCTATTCGGTAGATAAACATTTTTATATATTTTTAATTCGATTTTGATTAAAAATTGAAACTCATCCTTTTTCATTCAAAAGACAACGCATTGGTTTGTCAAACGCGATTAATTCTTCTCGACTCGATGCTTGTTTTCTTTATGCTTTGCACTTTTTACTGCTACATTCGATTTTATAAATATCGCTTAAGGTAGGTTAATAGGAAATTTTATACATGTAATTTTAACATTATTATTCATTATTATTATAGTCGCACTCCCTAAATGCATTGTTTATGAAAAACTCCTCTAAGTGCACACCCCTCTTGGTCCCAAATAATATAGCAATTTAAATTTTTTTTTTACTATGGTTCCGAGGGCGTGCACTTAGAGGGGTGTGACTGTATTGTTATTTATTATTATTATTATTATTATTATTATCATTATTATTATTATTATTATTATTATTATTCATGTGTGTTTATTTAATATTAGAGAATTTTCGAACGAATGGTGGTTTTGGATGATCGCATCCGGAGTAACCCTTGGTTTAACATTAAGGTAGATACATTCGTACGCACTTGTAAAATATTACATCTTAAAATATGTAGTCACATGAATTTAACTCATTTAAAGTGTAAAATTGGTTGGTCTATTTACCGTCCTCACCATTGGAATGGCGGTTATAGTTGACTTGTGGAATTTGTTGGATATAAGACGTGGACTAACAATAGTACGTGTTGTCTTGAATACAAAATCTTCATTTACTTGACGAGTTATTTCCATTATCTAATATTCATTTTCATTCATCATAGGATCATTTCAAAAAGCATTTCTATGCGCGTGCTGTTGGTTTAATCATTGTACCAATTTCAGTTTATTTGTTTTGGTTTTACGTTCATTTTGCCATACTGACTACAAGCGGTCCTGGTGACTCGTTTATGAGTCCGGCGTTCCAAGAAACGCTACAAGGAAATGCGATGTCACTTGAAAGCCTTGGTAAAGCTATTTACACTTAAATCATAATGTTTTTCGTGTTATAAGCTCATATATCTCACATCTTGAAATTCTATCGTTTTAGAAATAAGATTTAATGACACAATTACCTTAAAGCACAAAAAGACTTCAGTCTTCTTACATTCTCATCTTGAACGCTATCCTCTTCGATATAACGATGGGCGTATTAGTAGTCAAGGTAAGACAGCTATTTATATATTTTATTATCTTGGAAAAAGTTTGTTCAATAAATACATTATTTACAGGGCAGCAAGTTACTGGTTATAAATATGAGGATAGCAACAATCATTGGCGAGTTAAACCTGCAACGATTTTTATGGATCCCTCGAGACCGGAAGATGATTTTGTAAAACATGGGGATTATATATTACTTGAACACGTCAATTCAGAGTCGCATCTCCTCACTCATGATGTAGCCTCGCCTTTGATGCCAACCAATCAAGAATTTACGACCATGCCAGTAGATGATGATTCCCGTTATAATGAGACCATTTTTCAGGTTTTAATAGATGATGGTGATTCAGACACAATATGGAAAACGAAATCTAGCTATATGCGGTTGATCCATTTTGATACAAAAGTGGCGTTGTGGACACATGATAAATTGTTGCCGGAGTGGGCCTTTAAACAGCAAGAAATTAACGGTAATAAGAACAATGTAGATAGGAGCAATGTATGGTTCGCAGATCAAATTGTTGGAAAAAATGGTTGGTGTTTTAACTTATAATCTATATATTTTATTTCTTATCATATTGTACACTATTAATAACATTCATTCTATTTAAATTTAGTAACAAAGCCCTTGGTTCCAGAACCTCCAAAAAAACATCTTCCATTTTTTGCAAAATTTTTTGAATTGCAACGTCTTATGATCAGTCATAATTCAGGATTAACGAAACCACACCCTTATTCCTCTACACCGATCAATTGGCCATTTTTAGTACGAGGTATTTCTTTTTGGACATACAACGATGAGAGGCAACAGATATATTTATTAGGTAATCCATTTACCTGGTGGTTATCTGTGGGTGCTATGGCCGTTCTGGTTGGCGTTTTATCCGCAGATCTTATCTCTAGGCGACGTGCTATTCAACCGATTTCTGAACGTAAGTCGTTTTTCATAATTGGTTTTATATTATAACATTGTATACATGCATTTTTTTACTTTTGATTGCTCTCTTAGCTGTTCGTGATCGTTTATACAATTCCGGTCTATTCTTCTTTATGGCATGGTTTATACACTATGCACCATTTTTCTTAATGGGTCGATCACTGTTTCTCCATCATTATCTTCCTGCTCTAATCTGCGGTTATTTTGTGGCAGCAATAGTTTTTAACTTTATGTTTATAGATTCTGTAAATTATCCAATTTCAGTAGCTGGATCGGGGAAGGCACCTCGAATTGTGGCGCGTGCTGTTGTTAAACATATATCAGTAATTACTTGTATTATATTGTTAACTTTGTCTGCATGTGTATTTTATTATTTTATACCTCTTACCTATGGTACACCTGGAGTAGATCCGGCAGGAATAAAAAATAGGATGTGGTTAGATAGTTGGGATTTACATTTTCAACCGAAAAGACATGAGGCGGCCTGACCACATTCATTTTCAAATATATATAGTTTCATTAATTCAATGTGTAGACTTTTTTTTTTCACAATTACAAATAGATTAAGCAATTTAAATAAGTTGATTATTATAACAATGATATTCATCATATTCATCTATTGTCGAGTATGAATGATGAATTCATTTACACCAAATATTTAATCTCATCTTTAGGTTAACGTTAAAGATCAGGGAATGTCACGTTGGATGATTGGGTTTTGTATATAATAAATTTTTTAGCACTTACAAGAGCTACACCCTTTTTTTTTTTTTTTTTTTTCTTTAAGCCAAAGGTAGTGGTTTCTTTGATAATTATCATTATTACTGTGTTTTAATAAAGTGGAAGTCAAGCTTATCTTTAGTCTTTAAAGAATCTTGATTTGATAAACACGAAAACTATAGCTCACTGCGGCCGGCCTCAAAGTTTTGGGTCAAAAATTTCCTATATATTTAGTATTTAAAAATGCATCTTATCTGTTATAGCTAAATTGTGCTGATAACTTCTATTTAAAAGTCTGAAGTTAGTTATTTACAATTTTTTGCATTTTTTTTTTTTTATACAATATCTGTGATTTATAGGACATAAGGGTACCCGGCTTACTGCTGTCTTTTTTTTTTTTGTGAAGAATTAAAATTCTAATGAACAATTCTAATAGTCTTATTAGAATTTTTATAATCTTTTATCTTGTGGCAGTTTTTTTTTTTTTTGCGGCAGTATTTTATTTGTTTTTTGTAGAAGCATTTTTTTTCGCGCCAGTGTTTTTTCGAGGCAGTATTTTTTTTTTTTTTTTGCGGCAGCAGTGTTTTTTTTTTTTTTTTTGTGGCAGTATTTTTTTAATAATTATGATAAAATACTAAATATGTAGTATATGTAACTGATACATTTAATGACTAAACACAATTAAGGCCCTCCCTCTGTTACTTTATTTGCCTCTTAAATTACTCTAAATTTAAACTTAATTTTTGAAAGAAAAATAATTCTCAGCAATTTAAAAATAATAATTGAACTTTTATATAACTCCTAGCTCAACATAATTTAATATATGCAGTCAACCCTCTATAAGTGCACCCTCCATAAATATACGCATTATATCCTCTCTAAGTGCACACTAATATTCAGTCCCAAGCATATTGAACTCTTAATAAAATGCCCTCCATAAATGTACACCCTCTCTAAATGTACATTTTTGAAAATTTTGCCTATGGTCCCAAGGGGATGCACTTATGGAGGGTTGACTATATATATATAGAGTTATCCCGAACTAGAGAAGAACGTTCACAGTATCTTGCAACTGTGGCCATGACATTCGATCAGTGATTATTTTTCACCGTGCGAACTGTGCGCAACACTCAGAAACAAACTTTGCGCACATTTTTTTTGAATAGACGTGCGGTGCCGCACAGAAAAAATCGACATTTTGTAAGTTTGTGCACACGGCTGCAGACGAGTACATCTAAATACACAGCAGATCTGCAGATCTACAGGTAATGTTCAACGACTATCCAACATGCATGACCAATAAAAATTACCCGGTGTTAAA